GATACTGACTAACATTAAAACTGCAGAGACAGGAAAAGTACTACAGAGCACTATACACAACTATATTGGTTTCAGCCGACTTTCAGCCATAAAATCTCCCTGAAGTTACCAATCACTCAGGATGGTAGAAACTGGAAACGGTTGCAAATTAGTTTTTGGGTGGCAATAGGGCTGCTTTGATCTATTGCTGCCCACAATCTATCACTGGATCCTAGAAAAAGATTAATAGGCACAAAACCGCAACAAAATGTTCTTGTATTTCATCGTCACCGTGCACTTTAATTTTGTAGGAAATAGGAATTGCAACACTCGCCTCTTTATAAAGCCGCTCAGCGACCTTTCCTTCTATATCTTTCCCACAATTCAACAACTATAAAAGTAATTCGGCAAATCTTTCATGTTGATAGGTTTTGCCCATTTTTTGAGAGATTTTTTTTGTCTGATTTTCTGAGTATTTCGGGTAAGAATTCACAACTCCCTAAACCTGGCACCTGATAAGACAGATGGAGAAGGAGCTTTCTGAAGGCGCTGCAATTCGGACCAATTTTTGAAACTTTTTGCCAATGTTTCACCTGTCTACTTTCTGCCCCCCCATCCCCTCCCCCATAGCATATCAGAGCTTTGCCAACCGGTAAAGAAGCAGCTAGAATTTTATGATGATATCAAGAGACATAATTAAAAACAATTGCCAACCATGACAACAAGGTCGCTTTAAGTGGCCATGTTTACAGCTCGGTGGACGCATAGCCGGCTCACCTGTCGCTGTCTGACACATCCCTCTCAGCCCGCTCCTCTCCCCTCTCCGTCCTGGCAACGTCTCCGCCGACCCCCTGTAAGAGCGACCCGGGATCCGGAGACTTATAAGGAGTGCAGGAGTCCCAAAGTGTATACACGAGCCGGCAGCAGATGGAGGGCGACAGCAAGGGGGGGGGGATAAACTGCTGGTTATGAACGTCTGCGAGGGCCCCAGAGGCACAGGAAGGAAGAGGAGGGCAGGACAGCGGCCGATCACATGCAAAAATTATAAATATCTCAACCCTGGTTCATTAACAAAACAAAAAAACTTCTCTTGAACATGCGTAAAGGACGGCGCGGCTCGCGGCTCCAGGCAGATTTTTCCGCGATACATTTCATGGCGTTCGTCTTTCCTGGAATTCGGTCCCAGTTCGGTACTTTGCCATGCACTGACAGTAATGTGCGGGGGTCTGTTCTTCCTCTGCATGCACAGACAGCTGCACAAGATCACTTTCTGCGCCCCGCTGATGGAATTCTCAGTGTCTGCTCGGTGTAGTCACAGTTACAGTAGTCACAGTGCAATACGTCTCCTTCACCTTTAGCTTCGGTGGGAAATAATTGGAGGGGAGCGAAGTGACTGAGCCAAAAACTGATTGCGTCTTGCCTCTAATTGTACCAAGCAGACTGCAAAGACACAAGTTTCCTAAAAAAATGTCAATCGTACAGCTTTGTTGGTAAGCAATGGGTTGGAGTTAGGTTCAGGGCTAGTGTGAGGGTTAGAGTTAAGTTCAGGGCTAGGATTAGTGTTAGAGTTAAGCTCAGGGCTAGTGACAGGGTTAGAGTTAGGTTCAGGGCTAGTGTTAGATTAAAGCTAGGTTCAGGGCTAGGATTAGTGTTAGAGTTAAATTCAGGGATAGTGTCAGGGTTAGAGTTAGGTTCAGGGCTAGTGTTAGATTAGAGTTAGGTTCAGGGCTAGTGTTAGATTAAAGTTAGGTTCAGGGCTAGGATTAGTGTTAGAGTTATGTTCATGGCTAGTGACAGGGTTAGAGTTAGGTTCAGGGCTAGTGTGAGGGTTAGAGTTAAGTTCAGGGCTAGGATTAGTGTTAGAGTTAAGCTCAGGGCTAGTGACAGGGTTAGAGTTAGGTTCAGGGCTAGTGTTAGATTAAAGCTAGGTTCAGGGCTAGGATTAGTGTTAGAGTTAAATTCAGGGATAGTGTCAGGGTTAGAGTTATGTTAAGGACTAGTGTTAGATTAAAGTTAGGTTCAGGGCTAGTGTGAGGGTTAGAGTTAGGTTCAGGGCTAGTGACAGGGTTAGAGTTAGGTTCAGGGCTAGGATTAGTGTTAGAGTTAAGTTCAGGGCTAGTGTCAGGGTTAGAGTTATGTTCAGGACTAGCGTTGGATTAGAGTTAGGTTCAGGGCTAGTGGCAGGGTTAGCATTAGGTTCGGGGCTAGTGTTAGGGTTAGAGTTATGGTCAGGACTAGTGTTAGGTTCAGGGCTAGTGTTAGACTGGAGTTATGTTCAGGGCTAGTGTTGGATTAGAGTTAGGTTCAGGGCTAGTGTTAGATTAGAGTTAAATTCAGGGCTAGTGTTAGATTAGAGTTATGTTTAGGGCTAGTGTTAGAGTTAGAGTTATGTTTAGGGCTAGTGTTAGATTGGAGTTATGTTTAGGGCTAGTGTTAGATTGGAGTTAAATTCAGGGCTAGTGTTAGATTAGAGCTAGGTTCAGGGCTAGTGTGAGGGTTAGAGTTAGGTTTAGGGCTATTATGAGGGTTAGAGCTAGGTTAGGGGCTAGGATTAGAGTTATGGTCAGGGCTAGTGTTAGAGTTATGGTCAGGGCTAGTGTGAGGGTTAGAGTTAGGGTCCAGGCTAGTGTTAGATTAGAGTTATGTTTAGGGCTAGTGTTAGATTGGAGTTAGGTTCTGGGCTAGTGTTAGATTAGAGTTAAATTCAGGGCTAGTGTTAGATTAGAGATATGTTCAGGGCTAGTGTGAGGGTTAGAGTTAGGTTAGGGGCTAGGGTTAGAGTTATGGTCAGGGCTAGTGTTAGGGTTAGAGTTATGGTCCGGGCTAGTGTTAGGGTTAGAGTTATGGTCAGGACTAGTGTGAGGGTTAGAGTTAACCCTCACACTAAGGTTTCCTTTAACAGGCCAAGCTGTGCAGCCAAAGTGGCATTTACAGGGTTGGTGGGGGGGGGGGGCTTACAATGGTCAGTTTTTTTTAAAAAGGCTTAAACTTTTTTACAAGAGAAAAAACAGAACTGTTGCTCTCTATATCTGCTTACAAAGTGTTAGCTGGAGTTGGCCTTTAATTTGTTTGGCACCTATTTAAAGTCTATTTGAAAGCATGTGTTCATGTAAGACTGCCTTCTCCACAGGGTGACAACGCTGCTGTGTGAGTTTACTGCAGCGTTGTCACCCTTTAAAAGGAAATGGAAAACGAATGTATCTGCTGGCAGGATCGACAGGTAATAAAACTCTGTCACGTGCCAGAATCAGTAAAATATCAATATCAAGTTTACTTTAGGGTCCATCTCTGTCCCTCAGTCTCTAATGGTACGTCCCCAGCTCATGATAGGCTTTTTTTGGCACAAGAACAGGTCCTGGTCAGGTGAAAGGAGATTCCCTAACACTCGGGAACCATTTATAGGCCATCACACTCTTAAAAAACCTCCTTCCCCATTGACAACAAAGCATTTCGCAGGAAACTCCCAATTTCGCTCTAAAAATTGTATTTTTGCGGCCCGTTTATAAAGACATTTCGGGCGATTTCATGAGGTGAGTCTAACAATGCAGAAGAAATACTTCTCCTCAATGAACCAATTTAAAGACATCTTCTGCGGTTTCTCTTGGCAGGACGATGTTGCCTCGCTGCAGAATGGATTCTATTATTATAGGAGAGACACTAAAGAAGGAATTCACCTCCGGGCGTTTCGCTTCGACATAATTGTGTTGTACCTTTGTTTAATTGACTTTGTTTATTGCGCTGCTCCGTGTTATCATCGGGATGGTAACTTTTTTTATCATTGTTTAACTTCAGCTCTTGCCCAGTTCTGCCATCCAAATGTGTATAGGTGTTGGAGACGTGGGGGCTCATTCGGGACCTAGCGCTTACTAGTCCATGGAGTGCATCCTTGTCTTCCTTGCGGGAACTGTCTAATCCTCTTAGTTTTGTGCCGCTCATCTGTTTTGTTGGTCTGGTGACTTTTGATCAATTTTAACTTCTGTTGGCCATCCAAATGTGTATAGCTGTTGGAGACGTGGGGGCTCATCCGGGACCCAGCGCTTACTAGTCCATGGAGTCCATCCTTGTCTTCCTTGCGGGCACTGTCTAATCCTCTTAGTTTTGTGCCGCTCATCTGTTTTGTTGGTCTGGTTACTTTTGTCATTTTTTGTAGCTTCAGTTCACCATCCAAAATTTGTATAGCTGTTGTTGGCATGGGGGCTCATCCGGGACCTGGCGCTTACTAGTCCATGGAGTAGAGCCTTGTCTTCCTTGCGAGCACTGTTGAATCACCTTTTTGTTGCGCTGCTCATATGTTTTGTCAGTCTGGTTACTTTTTGTAATTTTTTACTTCAGTTCACCATCCAAATGTGTATAGATGTTGGAAGCTTGGGGGCTCATCCGGGACCCAGTGCTGCTTACTAGTCTATGGATTCCATCCCTCTCTTCCTTGCGGTCCCTGTTTGTTCACCTTTCTTGTGCGCTGCTCACATATTTTGTCAGTCTGGTTACTTTTTATAATTTTTTACCTTACTTTCGCCGTCCAAATGTGTATAGGTGTTGGAGACGTGGGGGCTCATCCGGGACCTAGCGCTTACTAGTCCATGGAGTCCATCCTTGTCTTCCTTGCGGGCACTGTCTAATCCCCTTCGTTTTGTGCCGCTCATCTGTTTTGTTGGTCTGGTTACTTTTGATCAATTTTAACTTCAGTTCGCCATCCAAATGTGTATACCGTGTTTCCCCGAAAATAAGACACTGTCATATTTTCTTTTTTGCACGAAAAAAGACACTAGGTCTTATTTTCGGGGGATGTCTTACCTGGCTGGGGGAGCACTGGACGTCCCAGAAGGCGGCGTGCTGTTGCCGTTCCCGGTGTGATGTTATGCCGGTTCCATCGGGCGTGTGGGCGGGAGCTGCGGCCGGCGGGAGTGTGGGCGGGATGGGAACTGCGGCCGGCGTGTGGGCGGGGCGGGAGCTGCGGCCGGTCTTTACATTTAAAATTCAGTTTATGTGCTGCTACCCGGAAAGTAAGACCTAGAGGATTTCTGTAATATAAGACCTACCACCGAACTAGGTCTTATTTTTGGGGTAGGTCTTATATTACAGACATCACTGAAGATAGCGCTAGGTCTTACTTTCGGGGAAACACGTTAGGTGTTGGAGACGTGGGGGCTCATCCGGGACCTAGCGCTTACTAGTCCATGGAGTCCAGAGTTGTCTTCCTTGCAGGTGAAGTTTCTCCTTGCTTCGCTTCGCTTTAATGCTGCCATCTTAAAACAAGATTTCACGCATGCGCAGAAACCCTGTCAAGGACCCGCGGCATATATCCGTATGCATAAGATCTCGCAAACTGCCTCCGGGGATGTGTCATGTAGACGTCCCAGGAGGAGGCGGATCCCTGGACTTGTCTAGGTGAGGATTCAGGAAACGGTATTTACTGTTTAAAAAAGTTGCAATTGTGTAAGAGGGATGGGGGGGCGGAGACTTCTGTCTTTAATCGGACTCTTCGTGGTAAGGCACAGGTTGACAGTCTTACACATCAGCTGTAATTTTAAATCAGGCTGCATATGACAGAGGATCAGCAGATTAGAGTGAACTGATACAAATGTAAATCTTTGGAATTCCTTTAACTTTATTTCCAGAAGCGCCGCACTTTACACCAGGGATCGGCGGATCGTTGGGGTATAGATAGCACATAGGAACGAAGGCGTTGTGGGGAGGCGGGGCACAGACCACGGAGAGAAGTAACTGCAAGCTCAGAACATTGAAGTCTCGGCGTTCACAGTAAAGGAGCGCCTATAGAAGCGAGGATCAGCCGCGCAGACTGTTCCACCGATCGGCCTTTGTAACTGTTTTTCCACATTGAACTTCTCCCCTGTTGGCTGCTTTGTTTTTATTTTCCTGGTCGCTCTCCACACTCGGCGCAGCGACGCGCAAATCTCACAAATACTTCGGATGACATTGTAAATCCCGGCAGTGTTTGCAGAGAACTTGGACATGATGAAATCCTCGCCTCGCACAAGATAAATCCGCTGCACCGCAGACACTCCCGGCGCT